CCTCAGTTCTGTATGCATAAATAAATACATCTTTTTTAAAAAGGGGGGAGTGGAGGAGAAAGTTATAGGGAAGTGAATTTTGGCCCTATCTGAAAAAGACAGTTTTTCAGCAAGCTAAGGATGAAAGAAGTTGCTTAGGACAGGAGGGATTTTCCTGACTCTGGAGATGTTCCATCATGGGTACAAAACAAGGCAAACTCTTTTCCTCATTATCCAAAAGTCCAGAAATCTGAGTGGACACTGAGGTCTTCCCTAGTCATCACAGGGAAGACCTTTACAAAACAGTGACCACACCACTGACTCCTGATCTGACCCAACCTGGGACAGGCTCACACTTGACAAGATCTAACAGCTTAGGGACCCAAGCAAATATTTTTGGAAACCCCTTTGCTGGGCATAGCAGTGAGCAAAAGGAACAGGAGAAGGCCTCCTAGTTGCCCAGGTTTTAAGTCTCAGATTATCACTGCTGAGGCCTGAGTTCAATCCCCAGCCAGGGAGCTGACCCACACGGCACAGCAGACCTCTCCTGCCTCTCCCACTGCTCCCCTCAGGAGTATATTTCAGTCAATCTGTCTGTTCCATACCCCACTCTGTTTCTGGTGAATCCTCTCACCAACACACCCACCTTTGGCCCAATTTTTCTACACAAAAAAAAGGAACAGGAGAGAAGAGAAGACCTCTTAGCCCTGGATCTCAGCCAGCAGAGATGGCAGCTCCAGGAACCTGAGGCTGAGAGAACCCTGGGGAAACGTGGACACGCAGAGGGTGTGAGCCCCACTCAGATGGTGCCTCTGAGTGCTGTGACTCACTGAGCCTGGCACCAGCACCAAAGGAGTGCAGAGGTGTACAGGCTACCCCCACCCCCACCTAGCGCCTCCACGGGGTGCAGGCATGTGCATGTGTGAACACATGTATGTGTGTGCACGGTAGGTGAATCCTGAGCAAGCATCAGGGTCTTTCTGATGACATAGACGAAACTCCAACCAGTGGTTCTGCAGGCCTAGCGAGTGCCAGCTCAGCCACTAGGTGACTACTGGAAATTCATCTTCTGACTTGACCTCCCTTTCTTCATCCATAAAGAGGATTGTGCCTATTCTCAAGGACCCTTCCAGCACACTAGCCTTGAGCTATGTTATTTCTTATCTGGTGCCCATTAATTTTCCAAGGGCCTTTCTCCAGCTCAGAATCTATTTTCTGCAATTTGCCATCCAGATCAGACTTGCACTCAGGTAACACAAGTAGAATCAAGGTATGGGCGCCCTTAGCCAAGGAGTTAACAGAGAGCACAAGTGTCGTGTGTATATCATTTATTGTTGATTTTATACACCAAACTTGTCACAAGCAGCATCCAGCAATGACAGAGCCCCAACCCTGCCCACCAGGGCTCACACTCTATAAAACCCTGGGGAAACCTAGAAAATTCTATATGCACTACCAAGCACCTGGGACTATTTGCAATGATTCTCTATGCAAGGCAAATTTGAACTACTTTTGCAGATAGCATGAAGGCAACAGGTCAGTGAAAACAATCTGTCTTTGGGTAAAGAGGCCTCAGGCCAGGACATTAGCCTGGAGAAGTGCCCGCTCACCCTCTCGAAGTCATCACCACCATACCACCATACCTCACCAAGACCACCACTGCCTCCCCAAGACCACCATGCCTCCCCAGCAGCCCCTTCACTTCTAACTGTGGGCTCTGTGGGCTGGATTTCCTGCAGGTGGGGATCCATCCACTCCCTATTTCCCACCCGAGTGATCTAGTTACCCCTAAGTGACGACCCTCTCTAAACTTCTGGACTTGGAGACATCTTGCTGAGATCACTCTACAGTAACATCTGAAAGGCTGTGGAAATGATTCAGTTGCCCACGAAGAGTTCTGGAACTACGTGGGGCCTCTAAATTCTAAAGAGGAAGAACAATATCCACCAAATCTAGCAATTTCCATGAGTGGAGACTCTTTTCTTTAATGGATGGGTGGGTGGGTTTAATTTTTTTCCCTGACTTTTGTAAAGCTTTTGACTCTCACAGTCCTGGTGGGGTTCCCATGGTGAAGATTATGGGTGGGGGGCAGTGGGAGAGAGGCTTCCGTTTTCTTTAGTTTAGTGATGAAAGCCCAAGGATGGGCCAAGGGGCTGTACATAGTTGAAAAGAGAAGGAGCACGCGCAGCCTGTGGAATAACGTTGTCACAGAACAAGTGGCTTCAGGCCAGATCTCTGCGGGGTAACAGCAGAACTTGTGCACAGGGTTCTGTGAGGGTTAACAAGAGAGGGCCTGGCAGGAGCTTGAGAGAGCGTGTTTGGAAAGCACTGGCTCTGCTTGGCTTTAATTATCTTTCCCACAATGAGCCTCCACTCAAATGAAGACTGCAGGTGCTGACAGGGTGACCTAGGAGGCAGAGATCAGAGGGCAAGCCAAGTGAACTCTGGGTCCAATCTTTACTTTGGGGGGACCGAGTGGTTCAACACTGTCTTGAACAGAGCAAATTCATCATCCTGTTGGAAAGGAGACTCCACTCTGATGGGGTGGGAGGTGGGTGTCATCTGAGACCCTCTGGCCACTCTTTGGCCTGGAGACATGCTCATATCCTGGGCCTGAAAGGAAGGGACTCCAGTGGGATGGCCAGTGCCAGAAAGACCTGGGGTTCTGCGTTCAGATCATCAGGGCACACAGAATGCCGACTCCTCTCTCACCTCTGCCACCTTCAGTCCAGTGTGTTCTAAGGCGATGAGATGCTGGTGCCAACCCCCAAGGGGCACCTTGAGGAGTGAAGTGCCACCCATGCCTCCTGTCTGGAGGAGCACAGATCCCAGGAGCAGCATGCCAGGCTACCATGCCGTGATGTCCGTGAGCAAGTGCTGGGCTCGCTTTCTTTTGGGCCCTGGCAAGTCTGATGAACATCCACCGGTTATTACAAATATTTTAAAAACATTTTGGACACCCAGATTTATGTGGGTGAGATGATGTCATTGCCCCTAACAGGCCCCATTTCTGCCAGGTGCTCTGGGACCGAGTAAAGAGCTACAGACCGCGTGAATTCCTACACGCCCCTTCTAGACCCTTTGTGCTAAGGACTGGAGGGAAACCTGCCAGCATCAGGTTGCTGAAGTCCCTGGGGATTGCTTATCTGTCTTTTGGGGCACAGGGCACAAGTAACAGCCAACTGATGGCAGATTTCTAGATCCTTCTAGCATTGGTTGCAGGTATTTCCAAGGCAGGCATGGAGATATAAAATCCCCACTTCGCTACTTTTAACTTCTAAACTAGATCAGTTATCCAGAAGAAGACAAGCACATCACATGGGGGATTTCTTTACCAGTGTGTGTGCCAGGGGAATATATGTGCCAGCGGGCGGATGGGGGTGGGGCAGGGATCATGTGACCGGACCTCAAGGCAGAGACCAAACAACTCATCTCTGACGGCCAGACCCCAGACAGAGACTCAGAAAGACCACAGCTGCAGCACACCCTGCCAGCACTCTGGGGTTGCCTGCTGTGGCCAAGAATTCTGGAGTTCCGTCGCCAGCTGACTGTAATGCTGATTGAGTTTACCATGGCATTAGGGGGATTGTGGGATCCATTACACGTGACTGCTCAATGAAAGGATCTCATCTCTGAACTATTTCACTTCCCCCAAAAGGAGAGTGAAAATTAGAAACAGTCATAGGCATGTCATGCCCATAAAAGGCCCAGGCAGAGGGGCTGCCATGAACAGCAGACATCATGCTGGCAGGCGTGGCGTGTGGTTGTATGGGCTGCTGAAGTCTTGTTACTTCTGCTCTAGCCAGCTTGGGTGCCTCCCTGGGTCTAGGAATTTCATAAAATCTCCTGTGCAGGCCAGAGTATACCCACATATACGCCACCCTGGCAGCTGAGCCTCTGCAAGGGCTGAACAGCATGGGGAGCTCTGAGACACCCCCCCCGGGCCCATGGGGAGCCAATTCCCAGGTCAGTTCATGTCCTCTCCACAAATGCAGGGCTTGTCCAATGGAGCGGAGGACGCTGGTGAAATCCTTGGTCTGGATGCTGACCGCACGGGAGTGTATAGTTTGTGGAGATCCATCAACCCACACATTAGCACGCTCCCACTTTTCCGTGTGTAAGTTGTTCTTCGGGAAAATGTCAAAAGAGAAAAAGCCCAGGGTGAGCACAAGGAGCCCAGGTAGTAGTAGGCTGCTCTCTCTGTCTGGGACCAACGAGGTGATCTGAGTGATTTTTAGGGGTCAGAACTTCTATCTTACTTTATTCCTTTAAGGGTGAAATTTTTCAAAGCAACATTTCCGTCCGGAAGTATTCTCTAGAAGGTTGACCTGGCACACGGCTTTCTGCCTTTTCCAGACAAGAGTCACAGGACATGGTGCTGACGGCTCCGACTCCAGGCACCGAGAAGCATCGTGCTCCTTCCCTTTGCCAGCACTCAGAAAGCCAGGGTGCTGGGCAGCTCTTAAAAACCAGTTCAGTGGTTAGAAGCCTTCTTGAAAGGAGAGCACGCACCCTACCTTCAGGAACAGAAAATTGGGGGAGACCTTACATTCGGGGGTACACAAACAAGAGGAGCAAAAGAAGGGACATCAACTTACATAATACTTGAAAGAGGGACTGTCCCTGTGGAGAACTATTCCCACAAAGTGGGCAGGCATTGTAGTAACTGAGTCTGCACAGGCCAGCAGGAGGGCGGGCACAGGGCAGGCTGTTCTGGAGGGAGTGCTGGTGAGGCTTCGGAGGAGGGGGTTTCTGTGAGAAGCCAGGGATACAAACGAGAACCCCACAAGGATTTCCTGTGAGCTGCAAGCCTTCCCTGTGGTAAGAAAGTCCCATAAGACCTACTTCTCCTGGAGACAGAAGGGCAAGGCAGGTCAGAGAGAGGTGGGACCCCTATCTCTCAGGGCCCACAGCGAGGCTCAGGGGATATCTCTGTGCACCCCGAGGCGAAGGTTGACGGATGACATTCCAGCTGCTCTGGCGGCCTCTCGATTCCCCAGTCCTGCCTCCGGCTTGCCTCTTTAGCACTCATTGGGCGCTTTCATTTGCATCAGGACCGCGTGGCTCCTCTTCTTACAGCAGCAACAGCAGATACAAGCAGCCAGGGAGCAGGCCAGGGCGATGATGCCAATGACAATGGCAGCAATGGCCAGCCCACTCTGGGCCCGGGTCATGCCCCACGTGCCCCGGTCATCAGTGTTCTCGACGGTGGTCAGGTCTGTGTAGTCCTCCATGGTGGTGAAGTCCGTGGAGGAGGTGGTGTCGGGGTAGCCCGAGGTGCTTGGGTACTGGGGCGTTTCTGGGTAGATGGGCCCCTCGGTCATCACAGGACTCTGGGCACTCGGACCTTGGACATTGACGTTGATGATGATGAGAGACTGGCCTCGAACATTGGCTGGGCTGTAACACACCGGGAGGGTGTCTGTCCCCAGCCTGGGCTTGTTGAGCTGGAGCCAGTTGCGCAGGGGGAGGATGTCAGAGTCGCACCTCCAGGGGTTGTCATAGAGCCGCAGCTCACACAGGTTCCCCAAGTGATCGAAGATGCCCATCGGCAGGTTCTCCAGCTGGTTATTCTGCAGCTGGATGGTCATGAGGCCATTGACATTGGCGAAGATATTCCCCGGGAGCTGCCTGATGCGGTTGTTCTGTAGGGAAATGTTCTGCAGGTTGGCCAACATGCGGAAGACATTGGCATCCAGGTCCTGCAGGGCGTTGGTGTGGAGGGACAGCTCCCGGAGCTCCGCCAGCCCGTTGAAGGCACCTGGGGAGATGTGGTTGATCTGGTTGCGGCTGAGGATCAGGACCTGCAACTGGGGGAGGTTGCTGAAGACATTGTCAGGTAGAGAACTGATGTGGTTGTCATAGAGCCAAAGCTCACGCAGGTTGTGCATGGGCCCGAAGATCCCCGGGGAGAGCTCCTTCAGGGAATTCCCAAAGAGCGTGAGGCGGTTGAGCTGGGGCAGCTGCATGAAGATGCCAGGGGGCAGCTGGGAGATTTGGTTGTTGGACAGATAGAGCCTCTGGAGGTTACGGTTATTGTGGAAGAGGCCAGGGGAGAGCATGCCAATCTGATTCTGCTGAAGGGCCAGCTCCTGGAGGTTGCCAAGCCCATCAAAAGTACCCATGGGGATGTCCGAGAGTCTGTTCTCATACAGCCGGAGCACCTGCAGGTTGCCCAGGTTCTGGAAGACCCTGGGCGAGAGGTGGGTGAGGCTGTTCTTGCCGAGATTGAGCTTGGTGAGGCCCCCCAAATGGTCAAAGACGCCATCAGGGATATACTCCAGGTGGTTGCCATGCAACTGCAGCTCCTTGAGGTTTCCACACTGGGAGAAGTGAGCCGGCTGGATCTGCATCAGCTGGTTGCTGGACAGAAGGAGTGACTCGAGGTTGTCGAGGCCCTGGAAGAGGCCAATAGGCAGAACCTGAAGCTTGTTATTGGCGAGGCTGAGGTACCGCAGGGAGCCCAGGTTGCGGAAGGCACCAGGCATAATGTGAGACAGTTCGTTCTTCTCAATCCTCAGGGCAATGAGGGCCGAGATGTTGAGGAAGGGGGACTCGTTGAGTTCAGTGATGTGTGTGTTGAGGATCTGCAGGCTCATGGCGTTCCAGGGCAGAGGGGTGGGCACGGCCACGATGCGTGCCCCATTGCACTCCACCTGCGAGGACCTGGAGCAGGTGCACTCGCTAGGGCAGCCATAGTAGGCCGACCCTGCACTCCAGGCCTGGAAGCCCACCAGCAGAAGGAGATAATGTTTCAGTGGCATGGCCTCTGCAAAGGGAGGAAGCACACAGGAGTCAAGGTCACCGCACTCACACTGCAGCCATTCTTAAGCCAACACCAACCTTCGTGCCAAATACTGTGGCCTTTGAAGCTCATCACAACACACCCAGCTTATGCTACCTGTGGTCTGGGGAAACAAGCTTCCTCGCCCCCAAAGCTGTCCTACTTCCCAAGTAGGACGTCCTTTGCCCAAGCAGTTGCCGTAAACTCGCATGTGGGCATGCTCCTCCAAATCTTTCCCATTCCTCCAAGTCTAACACAAAAGCAGTCACTCCTAGGAAGCTTTCCCAGATTCCAGCATTAATTGCTCTCACATGTGGGTGGTCTTCCCAGGCTCCACAATGGCACAGGCAAGAGCACCCTGGTGAATCGAGAGGAAATCAGCAGAGGGGCTCAGCGTTTTCCTCCTGAGCCCCACCCTGCCCTACCCCGTCACCACTATCAACAAGCTGTCCTTCTGGTAACCATTTCTCATGTGCCCCATCCAAGTTAAACACAACCAGCTTTCCTCCATCTTCGCCATTTCCTGTCCTGCCGGAAGGAGGAACAGGGGCTCAGCTGATGCCTGAGATCTGCCTGCTGGGTACCAGATGCAGCATCCACAAAGAAACATTGAATGGTTGTGGGCCTCCCTGGCGGCACAGGGTTAACGTCTCAGCACTATCAAGCTATCACCAGAAACGGCAGTACAAGTTCGATCCCCAGCCAGGGAGCCAACCCACACGGCACAGAAGACCTCTCCTGACCCATCTGCTGTTCCCTTCAGCAGTTCTGCCTGCTCTGCTCCCCACTGTCTCTGGTGCATCCTCTCAGCACTCCCCCCACTGCACCCCAGCTCTTGTACGCATAAATAAATCAAATAAATATTTTTTAAAAAGAAAAAGAATGTTGACTAGGTGATGGGAAACACACGGGGATTACAATTGAGATGGGAAAAAAAGTACAAAATGATGTAAAAATAAACTATTGTATTATTTTAAAAAAATAAATGTTATAACAAACACCATTCTACATGTAAAAAAAAGAAGAAGAAAAGCAAAAGAATGTGGAGGCAGGCAGGGAGCATGGAGACAGGTCTTTACACAAACATTTAAGGACAGCTAACTAGCTATTTGACCTTGAACAAAGCTCAAGGCCTCCAAGCTCAGCTTCCTCATCTATTAAATCAGGATGCTAACTTCTACCCCCACCCCAGGCTGTTGTGAGGAGCACACAGGACACGGGTGTGTGATGGACATGCAATACCGTTCCAGCCTCATCCACATCGTGGGCTTGAGAGACACTCAGAGCAAAAAGACCTCACAGAGCTTCTAATCTTGGCACTCTTGGTCGAGGTACTAAGGACTTCTATGATTTCCACCTGAGGCTTGTCAGGGTTAAGAAATGCTCGGCATACATTGCCATCATTTTATGAGTCTGGGGAGGAAGCAGGGGAACTGAGCCTCAGAGCTTAAAGCCTCCATCTCCAGATTCCTGGGTGAATTCCTTGGGTGTTCTTACAGCACCTCTCCTTTCAGTGAGCAAAAATCCTGAGTCACAGGAAGGCATTTCAAATGATACCTGTCAGGCACAAACTGACTGAATAGAGAAGGTATTTCTCTGGCTTCTCTTTGTCCCCTCCACCCGTGGAGTCCAGAAGCTAGCCTATGCCTCAGAATAATCCAGGTATCCCAACCTGGCCTCAGCTCAACACCAGGCGCCTGCTCCCAAAAAGTTTACTCTGAGGACAGAAGCCAAGTTCATCTTCATCCGCGCAGACCTGGATAGTTCACATATTCACACCCAAGAGCGACCTGCTGTACTGTTACGGGATTTGACTAGGTGTGCAGAACAGGAACAAATAAAAAGGATGAATAATTTGGTCAAGGGAATCTACACACACATGAACGGGACCAGATTAAGTTACCGACATATCTAAAAGGATAAACTTGTATAGAAACAAATGTCAGGACCAGAATCTGAGAGCAGTACACTAATGCTTAAACAGGAAGCACAGAAAAAAGTGACTCAACATCTACTCCAGGAGAAAAAAATAGAGAGAGCTTTTAATTGATAGTAACAAGAAAGAAGACAGCTTGCAAAAGCTAATGTGACCTCAGACTGCATTAATAAAAGTATGAGTGTAAAACAAAGGAGGTCTACTCTGCACTGCCCTTGTCAGGCCACACCTATAGTGCTGTGCTCAGTTCTGCCCTGAACTTCAAGAAGGAAATGACCATTGGTCTTTTAAAAACTTTCTAGAGAAAGGTGAGAGGGGGTGAGGAAAAATCTGAGTATCCGTTGAAGAGACTGTGGATAAACCAAAAGAAAAAAAGATGTGGGTTGCCCTGGAATTAAAAATAAAAATAAAAAGCTTTACTTAAAGTGCCTCCAGAGGTTAAAACTAGTGGGTAGAAGATTCCAGTTCACCCCCAAAGAGTCCTTGCTTGAGGCAGCATGGACTGCCCCATAAGGGGAGTAAGCTCCGCATCACTGCAAGAGTTTGACTGGAAGCTAAGCAACTACTTGGCAAGGAAGCTGGAGAGAAGATTCTCACATGTGGCAGGATAATGGCAGGAGTGACAGCTGCTGTCCTATTCACCTCCCAAGACTTTAAGATGCTGAGGTTGAATCCCAAAGCAAGGAGATGAGATCCCTTTGATCGGCTTGTGCCCCCAGGAGTATGTGGACAGGTGTGGGTGTTTGCCCATCTCCAAGGCACGTTGTGGGGGGGAGTGGGCGGAAGTGGGGGAACACTGACCCCTGAGCTGGCTTACAAAAGGTGAAGCTCTAAGTTCCCCAAGGGACATCCCGGCTTGTAGTGCTGTGGCCAGCGTGCTTCAAAATGGTCTCACACCCAAGCACCAGAGTCTAAATAAATACCCACAATCTGGCATAGCCTGGGCAGATGGAGTTCCATTGGCCTGTCAAGCTTCCCCAAGTGTGAATGAGGGTGTGAGATGAGGCACCCTCAGAGGACCCATCTCATACTTTCTCTATACTGTGCTCCCCAGTTAAGGAGGAGGCTTCCAGTCAACTCCAGGGAAGGTGCCCTGGGGAGGGGTTGCTGGGGGAGAGGAGGGAAAGATAATTCCCTTATGGGAACAGAGCCACTGTTGTTTAAAGTAGGCCACATTCCCTTAACAAAAATTTCAGGAATTTGCAGATTTTTCTTTTTATACATCCTCAAGTCTGCAGAGCCCACCCCAGCACCACATGCAGGGTGGTTTCCTGTTTTCTAGCACTTGTTGCTGGCACAGTCTCCTCCAAAGGTCCTCCACATAGTCTACCTCAAACCGGCTGGCTGTGGAGCCCTCAGGGTTAGGGTGGGGCCACCCAGCAGAGCCTGGGAGCCAGGGCCATGTTTCCTCAGCCGCCTTCTCAGACAAGGGCTCGGCGGCCTGTGGCCCTCAGGAGCCCGCACACAGCCAGCCTAATAGCCCACGCCGCCCGGTGCTGCTTGGCAGCTGTGACAAATGCCAGTTAAAGATCCACAAAGCTACCCTAATTACACCTTCCTTCCCCGGTGACCAATCGTGTCCTCAGCCACCACAGCCGCTTGGTCCAGCTCCCCTCCTGGGAGGTGCCGCTTGGTGACAGTGCTGGCCCTGGAAGTCAGTGAGACCAGGAGACAGACAGGACAGACAGCTCACCTGGACTCTCCAGGGGTGTCCCACCCCAGCAGCAGAAGCGCTGGGACCAGGCACTCTGCTCTGACTGTGGGTCTCTTCAGCAAGAACAGCCTATGATTCACGAGCAAACACATAATTAGCCTCCAAGCCCTGGGCTTTGTTGGTTGGAGGGTTGAGACGTTTTTGGTTTAATAACATCACTCACATTCCCAAACACAACATTCCCTCGAAGGAGACGCCTTCTTATTTCAATGCCACGGAGCAAAGCTTCTGGAAGGAGCCTGGAGCCTAATGCCTAACTCTGGTCTTGATACTAAAATGGACAGTGAGTTTGGGGAAATTCTCCAGGTCTCAGTTTCCCTTCCTGTAAGGATTCCCAAAGGCCCTTGGCGGCTCGGCTATCTTTTGGTTGGCAACAGAAAGGGAGGCCTGAAGCCCTTCTCTTCATCTGCTCTTCACAAGAAGTCACGCCAAAGCACCAGCAATGCTACCTGGCCCGGCCCCACCTTCATACCAAGACTTGAAAAACATCTGCCCACCTTTCCAGGCCCAGCTATTTCAGAAGTTTTCCAAGCAAAGAATCCCACTGGTTAATCAGTGGACACATAGCATTTCATGGGGTCTGGGAGTTGAAAGAGGTCCGAGGGAACTGCTGGTCCTGGCCCTCCCAGCATCCCTGGGGAAACTGAGGCCCTGTGAAATTGTCCTCCCTAACCCGTGGCATTCCCCATAGAGGTCCCCCTAACATGGCCTCAGTGAGATGCTTCCTTGCCCATTCTGAGGGGTCCTGAGGGAGATGTCAGAATTGAAGTTATTGAGGGGGTTTTCGGTTTTTCCCTCCATACACACACACACACCCCTAAGCCAGTGTCAGATTCAACCAAGCTTCTACTCAGTGCTCAGTCCAGCAGCTTTGAAGCTGCCATCTGAATGAAAGGCCAGTGTGTGTAGCGCTTCCCCTTCTTATTAATTCTGGTAACCTCACCCCCTCAATCCTCCACCCCAGTTCAGGACATAAAAATTACCTGGAAGTACCTGGGAAGCCTGCTCACAGAGTTGACTTCATAGCGTGGTTGCTATAAGGATTAAGTGAGTTAATGCATGTAAAGCACTTAGTCTTGGCACAAAATGAGCACCCAATAAGTGTTAGTTGTAATTACTGTTCCTCACGCAATTGAGTAAAATCAGGATCTCCGGAGGCTTCACCCACAGACAACCTGACCTTTATGTCTGGGTGGCACCCAGGACCCTACAAGTTTAACCCATTCCTCTGCTGCAGGTGTCCACAACTCACACTCTGCAACCCCACTTGAGCCCAGACGGTGGGACCCCGCTCTCCCAAGCTGCATCCCCCACAGCTCAGGCCACCGGC